TCAAGCAACTTACTAAATATTTGCCCTGATAATTTATTGGCACTTTGAAAAAACAATATTCATCAACTGAAAGAAAGTATTCTTAGTTCATTTTTAAATTGAGATATAATTGCCATTTAACATACTAGCTAGCTTCAGGTGTAAAACATTTGATATCTGTGGACAATTACAAAATGATGTCCACAGTAAGTCTAGTTAATATCTATCACCATGCATAGATAGTTACATTTTTGTTTTCTTGTGATGAGAACTTTTAAGATTTACCGATTTGTATTAACTATAGTTACTATGTATATATTATATCACATTGACTTGACTTATACCTGGAAGTTTGGACCTGTTGACTCTTGAGCATACTTATTAATGGGCTGTGTGTCCTTTTACACTGCATGCATAAACTCAGACTCTGGAATCAGGCTGGACACCGCCACCCTCACGGTCATGTCTCATTCCACATTTATGCCACTTTTATCACCACCACCAGTACCAGACACCCAGCTCTATAAAGACAGGACATCACTGAAAGGAACGGAAAGGGTGATACCATACTGAGCCTGTGAATTACAAGCAGGCAGTTTGCATGGTGCTTGACAGGTGTCAGGTGTCACCCTGTGCCCTGAAAGAGGAACTGTCCTGCATCGCCCTGGCACACTTTGGAAACTGTAGCATTTGTTTGTTTATTACAAAGTCTGTTATTGGAATGTTCACAGGGCTCTTAGACTGAGTTGCCAGCCCATTTTTCTCTCCTTGGTAAATGTCCCAAACACATTGATTGATAACCATTTTGTGTTTCTTTTCTATGAAATGTGGGAAGATTTTAAATTACTTTAAAAAAAACTTAGTGGTTATAGGATTCTTTGGGTTTTCTGTAACTTTGCTTGGTTTGGTATATTTTTATCTAGTACTGTGTCTTTTCTACCAAAATTTTCAGCATTACTAGAAAAAGTAATATATATTTTTAATATATTTTATATTTGTAGTTATATCTCGATTTCTAATACCACTTGTGTCTTTATACCTTTTTTGATTAATCTTGAATTTTATTAGTCTTCATTTTGTCCTCAATGACTTTTTAAAATTTTTGTTTATTACTTTCTGCCTTTTAAGATTTATTCTGTTGTTCATTTTCTAAATTGTGTTACTGCTAAAGATTCTAAATTTCTAAAGATCACTTTAGCTCAGTTTCACATTTTATTATTTACTTTCAGCACCACTGTGAGGCTTGAGGGATCGTAGTTCCCCGACCAGGGGTTGAATTTGTCTCTTGGCAGTGAGAGCATGGAATCCTAACCACTGTATTGCCAGGGAATTCCCCTCACCTATTTCAATATGTAATTTCAATTCCATTCAATTCTAAGCATGTTCTAATTTCCATCATGAATTTTCCTTGAGTCACTTGGTTATTAAGAAAAATGTTTTAAATTTCTAAGTTTTGAGTTTCAGTTCTTTTCATTGCTTATTTACAAATAACCTGTTTTGTGGTCAGAGAATGTGTGAATAAGTACTTTTAAATTCCCATTCAAATTTTCCATATCCTCTGAGTTTTGGAGAGGTTGTTTGGTATCAGTTATCAAAAGAATGTTTGTAAAAAAAAATCTTAAATTATGGTTGAATATTTGTTTACCCTTGAAGTTCTGTCAGTTTTGCTCACATATTTTGAAGATCTCTTATTTGGTGGGAACAAGTTGGGAATTATATCTTCCTGGGAAAAACTTTGGTCAGTATATAATTTTTGCCCTAAAATTCATTTTGTGTGATATTTTTGGCAACCACCATTTGCCAGATGTTTTCATCCTATCTTTTCTCCATCTTTAAGTGTTAGGCATCTCTCTTGTAAATGGTATGTAACTGAATTTTGCTTTCTATCCTGTCTGGAAAGTAATTTTTACTTTTTGTTTTAAATGTAAAGGATTTTGGTTGACCTGAAAAATGAAGTTTGGTATCAAAAATGTCACGACCCTGTCTGCAAAGCAGAAAACTTCAAATCTGACTGTGAGTTACTGATTTTTACATTTACCACAAAGTAAAAATTAGATATTATATAAAATAGTTCTACTATCTTTCTGATTCAGGCTATCCACTGCCTGCCGAAGTGTGTCTTCTGTTTCTTCTCAAAGAGGTGAGTGCAGTTTTTAGTTTCCTTCTGGTTTTTAACTAGTTCTTGGTACAATGGTTAAACGAGCTAATGCTATCTAGGTATTGTCTAAAAACAGTTTGGTACTTTGTTTCCACTTAGGAATATGTTATATTGATTGTTCCATCTCAGCACACATCTGATAGGAACTTCATTTTTTCCCACTGCTGCATAAGAAATTGTGTAGATAGCTATTAACCAGTTTCAGACATTTTGCTTTCTCATTTTCTTGCTTTACAAAGTATATTTTCTTTATATCTAGGAAGGATTTCTAGAATTGTGTCAAACGGTATATGTATATACGCTTTAAACTTCAGTAGATTACCAGACTGCCAAACCAATATTTTTCTTTAAAAAAACTCATTTATATCACTTATCCAAGTAATTCACATTCATTGTAGAAAAACATTACAAAATACATAAAGTGCAAAAGGAAAAAATCATCCTAATAATTTTACCACTCAGATAATTGATGTAAATGTTTTGGTCTGTAGCTTCCAAAATTTGTATGTGCTTGTGTTTTGTTTTTTTTAAGTCATAGTGTATATGCTACTATATTGTAGGGTTTTTTCTACTTAAACTGTCATATTTTCTGTATTACCAAATTGTTGTCCATAAAAGTGATAGGAAATTAGATGTCCAGTTTAAGGACATACCTGTTACCCTCCACTTGCCATTTCTTATTTTTACATTTTAATCTTTACCACTGAGCATCTCGACCATTCAGATATGACCTAAATCAAATCCCTAATGATTATACAGTGGAAGTGAGAAATGGATTTAAGGGACTAGATCTGATAGGAGTGCCTGATGAACTATGGGCAGAGGTTCATGACATTGTACAGGAGACAGGGATCAAGACCATCCCCCAGAAAAAGAAATGCAAAAAAGCAAAATGGCTGTCTGAGGAGGCCTTACAAATAGCCTTTCTTTTCACGGAAAAGAAGAGAAGGGAAAAGCAAAGGAGAAAAGGGAAGATATACCCATTTGAATGCAGAGTTCCAAAGAATAGCAAGGAGAGATAAGAAAGCCTTCCTCAGCGATCAGTGCAAAGAAATAGAGGAAAACAATAGAATAAGAAAGACTAGAGATCTCTTCAAGAAAATTAGAG